AAGTCTCTAAAAATTGTTCAAATGTTCTGCACATCCGAAAATTTTCAGTTATTATTTTAGCCAATATCAAGGACGATTTTTATTTTTTATTGAGTGTATGTTTTTGTTCTTCTCTTTATGAATGTATTTAAAGTTAGAGGAATGTTTTATTTTCCAAACATGGTCAGCACATTCTGGCCATGTTCTTAGTTGATGTTATTGAGTGTTGGCTTTTTCTTTTTTATTATTAGAGCTTCCATTATTTTTTAGTCATTTTTTACATGCAGATGAGGCTATTATACTTGTATTTGCTATAAGAATGTTACAAATGAAGTTTGGTAGGTTTCTGTGTGTGTTTAAATGATATATAATAGTGTATTTGAGCAGCAATCTGTCTTTTATACAAGTTTCATTAAAGACTAGGTGCTGCAATTAATCTTTTTTATTCAATTTTTCTTGTGTTCGTATAAGTGTTTTCCTTTTTAAACATTGTGTGTGTGTGAAAACTGTTCAAATATTCTGTATATCCAAGTACTCTCAGCTATTTTAACAATTATCAAGGATTTTTTTTTTTTTTTTTTTTTAGATTTTAATATGTGCATCTATAGTGATGGAAATATTTTTATTTTCCCACCATGGTTAGCACATTGTGGTCATGTCCGTAGTTGATATTATTGGGTTGGCATTTACTTTTTTATTATATGAACACAGGAAAAATTGAATACAAGGCTTAATTGCAGTACATTGTCAGTCATCTTTAATGAAACTTATATACATGCACACAAAAGTGGACATACGTCAACAATGAGTTGCAACAGTCTGTTTCATGTTTGAATGCAATTTTCATGGCCTGAAGATTGTTGAAACATACACTCTATCATTATGTTGAGTACTTTTACACCTAAATATATCCACGGTTCGTACAAGACCTGGAAACATTGAAAAGTCCTGGAAAAACAGTAATAGCCCAGAAACTCCTTGTGAAGTCCTAGAATTTTGTAAATAGGGCTGCTCACACGCCCTTTTTCTCAATTCATGGAAGTCAAAATAGTAAATCCCAGAAATATGGCTTTTTTAAAAGCCATATTTGTCCTTTAACCTTTACCCAACCAAATTCTTTCTAGAATTGTTACCCATGCCACTAGTTTTTTTTTTCTTAGGGAGCAAAAAACATGAGCACCAGCTGTTTTAAAATTATTTTTTTTTTTTGTATTGTGTGTATAGATTTTATTGTTTGTATGCTAATAAAAGAATGGATGAGTAATATTTTGATGTAATGCATTATGTTTTGCATTCATGTTTTGACATTGAAAGCAAAAAAAAAAAACACAAAATAAAAAGCAAATATATTTCCGCATTAACAATTTAACATATTTTAACTTTTATTACTCCTTATGGAGTAAGATACTAAATGGCTAAGAAGGCTTTCATTTTGTCAAAAGTGACATCCTTCCTAGTGTTTACATGTGAGTTGACACTTTTTTTCACTGACTAGCATATTTATTTGTCTTGATGACAAATAAAGTTATTATTCATTCCATTATTCGCACTGTTATCCTCATCTTCATTGCCATATTTAAGTTTCGGCCGTTGTACCATCTGGCCTTTTTCAGGTGATTGGAATTTCGAACCAAACCCGTTATTTCCTCCACCGGTGTTGATTGTTCTAGTTCCACGTACCATACCTCTTCCAGACATCTCAGTTATTTCCCTTTAACTCAACTTTCCAAGTTTTTCACCACTGTTGTAGCCTTGATCTCGCAACTCTTTGGGTTATCTACTGGGCCATGAGTCCTTGAGAACATCTGTGTATGAATTTCTGTGCCTTACAAACCTAATGTCTCAGTATCTTTTTTTTTTTACCAGTGCTCATATTGCAATTATGCTGTTATTATTATTGCATATTTTTTACCAGAGCTTATATTGTAATTTTTTGTTATTCATTGCTTTTCTCTAGCACTTCTTATTACTGGTTCTCATATTGTATTCATTTCTATGCTTGGTCGGCTCAGATTTTTGTGGCCTAGCATATGTGTTGATTCCTGAAGTGTTTGTATTTTCCAGTGATGTTCTCTGTCTATTATTTCAATGTCAGTGGGCAGTGATCTCCCTTTTCCCTTCATATGTGATCAGCGATGCCTGATTTTTCTATTTTCCCCTTGTGTTATTGTTTTATGATGTTCTTTCAGTCTTACCTTAAGGGGGCAGCCTATTTCTCCTTTATATTTCTTGCCATTGCTGCACGGGATGGTGTACACACAATCCTAAGTCATGTTCTCTATGAATATGGCAAGGAAGATGAGGATAACAGTCCGAATAATGTAAATAATCATAATACCTCATCTCAGAGATATATGCAAAGTTATTATTTCATCTTTTATAGACAAACTAATTCACCTTCCAAAAAGCTATCAGGTACATCCATGGGACCAGTAGCTTCCTTAAAATTAGTTAGCCATGGATGATAGTAGTGGTCATCATAGCTTTCCTCCTTGTCACTAGCATTGTTATAATCTCCAACCACTTCACTGTCAATATCTGCTTGAGTAAAGCCTACAAAATCAGAAAACCTCCTGAGTAAAAGCCTCATTGGATGGTGATGCGGCCATTTTTGTTTACAAAAAGTTGTGACAAAATTATTGTGGATTTAATCATTGGTACACCTTGTGTACAGTGTAGAAGAATTCAAAATGGCGTTGGAAAACAGAAGTTTAGTGTTGTTCCAAAGCAGTAATAGCCTGTATCCAGCTTAAAATACCGAATATAACAGTTGACAAGTTTTTATTTATAGCAACCCTCTTGAGGTGACAGAATGCACCTAGAGCTGCAAAGGAAAGGAATTCTATGGCAACAAATTTTTAACTCCAGCTAGGTAATGGTTAAGAAAAATGTTTTTTTAGTCGTCGGTAATATTTGGCAATTATTATTAATGGTGGTTTGTTTCCTTGATTAAAATGAGTTCATGACCTCATAGTTACTTGTGTATTCTCTGGTCTAGGTGACAGGAAAGAAAAAGAATATGAAGATGTGTCTTCTGCCTGCTCTCATTTAATAAGGAAAGAGGAAAAGCAAAGATAAGACGTCAGAGACAAGTAAACATCTTCACCAAAGATAAATTAATTTACACTCATTGAATTTGTAGTTAAAAGGAAAATAATAAATTATTTTACAGTGATAAAATACATTTTAGTAGAATCTCAAAAAATTTATCAGTGTTTTTTTTTTTGTTTTTGTTTTTTTTTTTTTAATTTGAACCATTAAAGAAATTTTATTTACATGTCAATTTCAAAAGTAAAAAGTCCTTTTGATCTCTAGTCAGCAGTGTATGAGTTCATGCTGAAGATATTTTACACATCCCATGTCAGTGTGTATCTATGTGTAAACTACATTTGTCTAAATTGTTGTCAAAAGTAACAAGTCTGAGAATCAGATTTGACTCGAAGAAAATGTAGACAGGAAGGATGATAGAATAGAAAACATGTTTTTGAAGTGTCTTAGGATAGGAAAGGCATCTTTGAAAAAATAAGAATGTTCTTGTAAGTGTGGAAAAATGAAATATATTAAAAGTTCAGTTTGACAACCCTATTTCATTACTTTTGTATTTCTGCCATAGATGACTGGAAAATATACAAACATGTAAACGACTTATTTGGTCAGATAAATGTGAATGATGTTTTTATTTCCAGTGAATCTGCAAATTTTTTGTCTGTTTTGAAATACATTGAACCATTTCTGATAACATATCAGAACGATCAACTGTTGCTTCCTTTCCTTGCAGATGATCATTTTAGTACAATCATGAAACTGTTAAGATTTATAAAGGAAGAGCACACTAAAAAGATACATTTTCCAAACTTAATGAATTTGTAAGAATTTTGTCAAATCCAAATCTGCATAAAGATGCAGCAAAGAGCAAGTGTGGATTTCAGGCAGATAGGGCTATGCAAAATTTATCCAACAAAGGAAATGTATCAACAAAAGATCTCTTTGTATGCAGAATTACAACAAAGACAATGTTCATCACCATCATTGAGAAACTTTTAGCAAAGTCTCTCCTAAGATACTCTCTTGTAAGGTCACTCGCATTGGCTGAACCTTGGATCCATTTGCAAAAAAATATTACCACATAGGATAGTCTAAAAAGATTTTGTTCCCACATGATGGACAGAAAACAAGTCAGCAAATCTGATTATGATGACATCATCAGTCACGACAAAAAGTTTGAGGAGGAGGCTGCTGGAAATTTTGCTTTAAAGAATTTTGGCAACCATGAAGACGGTTTGGACACTTTGTTCTACTCTTCTTTGTCTAGCAACAAAGAATATCAAAAACTGGAAAGTTGTTTTCAAATTGCTGGTACTTTTGTTGACTAGGCCTCAGTGGAAAGAGGTTTTTCATTCAATAATGAAATTTCCATTGACAATATGAAACACCAGACTGTGGTTGCACAGTGCATTATCATAGGCTGTTTAACCACAGCTGGAAGTGCTGGGAATGTTCCCATGACTAAGGCTCTTCTCTGAAATGCTTCCAATGCCAGAGCAGCATACAACCAATACCTTGTGGCTGAGAAGAAAAAAAAAATCAGGAAGAAGCAGCTGTACAAAAATGGAAATCTATGCTTATGGAAATTGAAGAATGGATGAGTAATATTTTAAACACAAAAACACAAGCTTGAAAGTTGCACACAAGATTTGCTCAAGTCAGTTATGCAGAGAAAGCTGAGAAGAACTATCACAAAATCCAATGCCAATGTGAAGATCTACAAAGTTCATAGATATATCAAAATTGGAAAAGGAGTTGAATGCTAAAATAGATGAACTAAAAAAATATTAACATTGTGCTCTGAGCAACAAAAGCCATGTGTAGTAGTGGTAGCTAAAATGTGTCTTCCTTTTGTGAAAATTTCTGTTTGTATTTCTGTTCATTAAAACTGTTATATTTAACTTAAAAGGAAATGAGCAGCAGTCAAGAATTTTTATGACTTTCACAAACCATGATTTGTCTAGATAGCTGAAATGTGTAGCAGTAAGAATAAAAATGTGTAATTCAAAATTTTCAAGTGTTGTGGAACTCCAAACTGTGTAGAATGCTACACAAAATGTCTAACATAACCAGTTCAGTATTCAGTTCGGTTTTAGCCTTCAAAACTTAGATTTCTTCACTGCTTTCAACAGATTCATGTAACATTGGAACCAGCTGTTGCTTTTCTGTGGACATCTCAATTGTTAAACTATTAAAAAATAAATCACAAAATTTGTGTTTTTGAAATAGATGACCATTCACTTTTGTGTATTCATGCATGGACCAATTTCAGTCCTTGAAAATTTTTCACATAATCCTTGAAAAGTTTTGGGATTTTTTTTTTTTTTACATAGATCTGTGGAAATTTGGTCATATTTTTTTTATCCAACATTATTTCATATTACTATAAACGTTGTTTTTAGTGGGTACATAAGTTTGAGTTAGTATCCCGATTTATTTTTTAAACGGTGAAATTAATAAAGACAGCCTAAATAGAGAAGTCCCACTAAAGAAAGATTATAATTTGGGCAGGAATCGAACCTGTATTCCCTTTTCTATCAGGGAAACCCCATTTTAAAGCTGAAATGGGTCTTTTGTGTACGAGGCTGAAACTAGCTGATTTAGAATTGTTGACGTCTCAACAAGAAATATGCATCTGTCTATATTTCTTAGATGAGGTATTATGTATACTATTTACGTTATTCGGACTATTGTCCTCATCTTTGTTGCCATATTTATTATAATTGTATGCTCTGGCCTTCTTCAAGTGGTTGGAATGTCGAACAGAACGCTTTATTTCGCTCACTGGGGTAGACTGTTCTAGTTCCACGTGCCATGTTTAATGGATGTCAGTTACCAGTTATCTCCTGTTAATTCCCCTCTCCAACTTCTCCACTGCCTTAACCGGGTATTAAACTCACACTCTTTGGGTCTTGTCACTGGATCTAACTAACACCTTTATCCACTGTGCCATGTGTCCTTGAGGTCATCTGTGTATGAATTTATGGGTATTATAAACCCAATGTCATCAGCACACATTTTTTACCAGTGCTCATATTGCAATTTTTTGCTGTTATCATTGCAATCCTTAAATAGGTAAATCAAACTTTGCATCTTCCATGGCCGAATTGGTAAAGGCACATTTTAACTATAGATGCAGTTTCCCTGATGGGAATGGGTATACAGAACTGGGGAGTGGTGGCCTGGCAAAGGGATAAATGTTGTTAAGAACTCCAAAAGATAGCAGGTTATGGAGAGCCATGATCGGCCATGTCCTAATGGTACACAGAACATTGAAAAAGCTGATTAATTGGCCTCTAAGTGGACCTGTTGTTGTGCTTCATCTTCCTTTAAAGATTCTTCTCATTCATTAATTTTAATGTCCTGATATCTTACAGAGAGTTCTTTGCTTTCAGACTCAGTTTTTTTTTTGGGGGGGGGGGTAACTTTGCAAGCCATTCCCAACACATGCTTGCACCAACCGAATTTTCACCCTGAGCTTTGGTGATCAAAATATACACACATGCACACACTGAAATATGCAGTTATAAATATATATCTTTTCATCATATCCTCTTACATTCAGTAACCTCTTGTGTTTTAGTGACTTTATTGTATTGCAAAGGATGAAAAAAGAAAAATTATATCTTAAATCCATGCATGTTTTCTTTTGCAGAGAAGGTCCTGAGAACAACCAGCCAATTAACAGCTTGAAAATCTCGTTTGAAGATGAATTACAGTTGACCTTGTATCGTCATTGGTCATTGTTTGAAAGCATTTGCAAATCAGTGACAACTGCCTGCAAATTCAAAGTGTGGTCAATGAAGGGCCGTAAGCGTTTACACGAGTTCCTTGCAGAAATGGGGTTAGCATTTGCCTGTTTTCCTCTTCGTTTTACCTACCTTCTGTATACTCATACATTTATTTCAGATTTCTCTTGGTGTTCCATTAAAAACTTTTGCAATCCAATACACCCTCTTTACTCAAAGTCTTCTATTCACATCCTCCTAGCTCTCTAGAATAATACCGACCTTTTTTTCCCTCCACCCCAACCGTCTTAATTATAGAAGATCCATTAACAATTACATGTGTATAAAGATAATAGTGTTTTGGAACACAAATAAATTCCAAGCTTGAGAATTACCAAAAACAGATGCTTCTTTTGCCATTTGACTCAGTTCTTTTGTCATGTGTGTCTGTGTTTATAGTCTGAAGACAGGAATTGAGGTATGCTCTTTAGTGACAACTGTCTTACAAGCAATCACAGACATCTTCGAAATGACTTCCTCTAAAGCTCATCAACATCTGTGTGTTTGCTTGCGAAGTTCTCATTTATATAGACATCTCTTCTCCCACCTCAATTTGAAATTGATATATCCAATTTCTCCACCCTGACCATCTTAATCTTAGGAGGTTCATTAACAATTGCATACCTGTAAAGATAATAGTGTTTTGGAACACAAACAAATTCCAAGCTTGAGAATTACCAAAAAACAGTTGCTTCCTTTATTTAAAAGAATTTGGATCATTATTTTCTATAAGAACACCCAGGTTTTGGGCAGATAGCATGACGTAAGCAAACCCCCAAATTTAATTTCTCAGTATTAAAGAAACTCGGACAACACATTAATCATGCCTTTTTTTATCATCAGTAAGTGGATAGGGTGGGAAACTTTGGCTTTTCTCAATTTTACTTAAACTTGTCTAGTTAATTCTGCATTCCATTCTCCTTGAAACCTTTCTTAAATTCATTTTATTATTTTAAAACCTGATTTTTAATCCATCACTTTTTTCTCAACCATTCAATCTTCTGAGAATTCTAATAAATATTATCCAATTAATAGTCCCTCCAACTCACCATCCTGTAATTTTGTACAATTAAATATTTAAACAGGCTCAGTACCCTGTTACATTTTGATATTCATTTATCACCACTTGTATTTTTGATTAGCAATTCAGAAATTCTCATAAGACCTAGCTAAATCAGTATAAGTAGATTTTTTTTTCTACATTTTATGAAAAGTTACTTTAAAGACTTGAGTCATGTTCTTAAATATCCCATAGTAAGGAGCTTCAGCAAATTAAGGCTAGTTTTATTGATAAAATAAGTCAGCATCTCGATTTCAGTGACTTTTGACCATTGTGATTGATCTTCCTTCTGTCTTTTCTACAAATACCAGATTAAATCTTCCTGACAACAATCACTTTCCTATTGCCATAATGTAGCTTCCCTTTGCCTTTTCTATAAATACTGTCATGGCAGTTATTCTAATGAGCTCCCCTCCTTGGTACTTCAACTGCACAAATTTAAACGTACCACTAGTGTGGCTACATCATTTTGGACTGGTAGTTTAGGAAGAAAAATAAACTCAGCACTAATTTAAATGCCAGTATTTATCAATTAAATTGTTTAAACCTGCATCTATGAACACAATAGAGATTCTTCAAACTCTTACACAGGAACAGAACTGGCAATGACTTTGATTTTTACCAATAGCACCCTAATTAAGAAAGAACATAATTCTTTAAGAAGAAAATACTTTGAAAGTTTAATAATATTAGTACCAACCATAAACACACATCTAAAATATTATATTACATCAGCAACCTTTATTGAATCCATTCTTAAAGAATCTATCATGTCTATCTAAGACAGTATGCAAATAAAAACATTCCCATATCAACACCTGATAACATCAACAGACATGTTTACTGCACATACATGACTGACCAATCAGAATCAGTCTTTACAGAAGTGAAAACATCAGAACTTCTCCCATTCGATATACACAATTATGAATACACATTATACATTGCCCACATCGCCAAAGTAGAATTTTAACAAACTTATATATATATATATATATATATATATATATATATATATATATATATAGAATTATCTTTGATTATAATGCATGTGATACATGAGTGACCAATGAAAATCAAACCACACGAAACTGAAAATACCAGAATGTTCGACTGATTAATGTTTCCTATTTGTTCTTTATCTCTAACTTGTTAAAATTGCTGGTTCTTTTTCCATAGTTTACTGGTGTGAAAACAATTTAGGCAGGCATTTTTTTCTTGTCATAAAGTGCTCAATATCAAAAGGTAAAGATAGAGTTTTAATAGAATTAATGTGGAGAAGCTTATCACTTAAGTGAGTGCTGTTGGTTCAGTCATGTTGACTTCAAAGTTTCATGAGCACATTGTACTAATGCTTTCACTATTCACAGCTGGTGTGTGTGTGTGTGTGTGTATATATATATATATATATATATCATCCACAGATGGACTGTTTTGCTGTATCACAGCTCATCAGTGTGGCTAGACATCTGATTGCTTCAAACCAGGATCGAAACTCGACCGATTTGGCGTCAATCAGAGACTCTACCCCTAAACTATCGACATGTATCAGAGAAAGGGAATCTTTTAATGTATCATATATGTGATGTATATAAATGCTAGACCAGCAGCCAGAGCGCTCGATTTTGATGAAGAGCTTTTTTCTCCCCCTCATTAGGTTACCACTTATCCAGTGTCAACAGAAATACTCTGCAATGGAGCCAAGTCTACGGAATAATGTCAAAGAGCTTATACAGAAACACATTGAAAAATATGGGTAAGTGACAGCTTTCAAAATTTGATATTCATTATTCTATTTCAAAAAGAGAAAATAGTGTGGAATAAAGTGTGGAGAATAATGTGGATGTGGGGAGAAAAACAATAAGTTGGAAGAAAGGTGGGAGTAATGATAAGTAAAAAGAAATTCACTCAAATAAAAAGTTTTTTTTTTTTTTTTTTCAGAATCACTCATCAGGATTTCTGTCTGAATTTCTGAGGTGGAGAATTATTTATATGTGGGCTATTGTCCTTATCTTTATTGTTTTTATCACAACATTTCAGCCATCATGTTTTTCAACTTTCATCAGGTGTTTGTAAACTTCAGGGAATTTTGAACTAAACCCTTTATTTAATCTACAAGGGTTCAGTTGTTCTTATTCTGCTGACAATGTCTAGAGCCCTGGGATTGAACTCAGAATTACTATGGCACCAAATTCATGAGCCAACACTATTTTAGATAGCATCCTGTCCCACAGGATGTTATCTAAAATATCTTTTCATGGTTTACATTATTCTTGGGGCTATATATTGAACCTCACCAATCCAACAACATCGGGATTGGCCAGTACACAGTGTTTCTTTTTTGTTTGTTTGTTTTTAGTGGTAATGGAGATGGTCTTTCTATAGATTTTGTTTTTAAATCTAGCATGAAGAAATGAAGGACTGGTGGAGAGAGGTGGATGTCAGCCCTTTGGCAGTGGAAAAGATTTGTATACAGTTTTCAAATCTACCAAAAATCAAATAATTATTGGATTTTGATACAATTTTCAGCACTTACATTTAGGTTAAATTGGCGGCTGATACTGAAAAATGACTTTCACCCATGTTAATGTAAAAAGAGTTAGAAGTGTGGCCAATCAAGACAAATTTCATTTTGCTGTTATATGAAATTGAATCATATCAAAAATTCCTCCAGAAATACTATATTTTAACAAATTTTTAAATATTTAAAACTAGAAATGTCCTCAGGCAGAACCAGACATGGAATATCATGGTCAAATTTGTCAGTGTATGGAAGCAATATAAAAACAAGAAAGGGAAAATTAAATTATTTTTTTTTTTTATTAAACAAGATGCTTTTTTTTTTTTTTTTTTTTAAATAAACATATTTTATTTATTATCATTTATAATAAACATTTTTAATAAACATATAATCCTGAAAAACAAAAAACTGTGTTGTAACAAGCATTTGGTAGCAAAGGAAAGAAACAAAAAAGCATTAAGATTTCAACAATGTGTGCGAGAAAACGGGGGGGGGGACACAACTTCTTGTGACACACAAAAACGAACGCCTTCTTGTGACCCTGAAATGAACACCTTCATGCAAACAAACACTTTACGACAGCAAACGTGCAAAACGGCACCCAAGACTGCTGCCGACAGACAGCCGACCGCACTGGCTTTTGTCGCCCAAGAAAAGACACCAAACGACTCACAGCATCTTCTTCTTTGTAGTCCTCAGTCGAGTCCATTATGGTACTCAAGGTGTGCCTGGCGACAACACACACACGCGCAGTTCGAGGGCGTTTCGCGCATGCTCGTTACACTCCTCCCTGATCTCTAGATCACACAAATGGCAATGTGGGGCAGGCCGTTTCTGCCTGGTGCTCCGTCTCAGTGGTATGGTCTCAAGCGCTTCCTCAGTGGTGCTCTCTTCAGACATCTCGCTGAGCTCATCCCGCATAGGTTCATCACACGCACTACTCTCTGAGGTGTGCTCTTCCTGTGATTTTATATATACCATCAGGGCTTCATCATCAGAAGAACTAACGTGGTTGCTGACGGAATAATCTTTCCCACACACTGGACGCACATCTTTTATGTGGCGCGGTATTCCATCAACAGTGTGGGCTATTAATTTGAGTCACCGTACCCTTGTTGAACTGTGTCATACACCCTTCCGTGCGGATTTTTCACCCAGACAGTCTCTCCTACCATATAAGGATTGGCAACTGCGTCGTCACGCACCAAAGCTGCGTCGATACCCTTAATGTGGACCCTGTACGTGTAGGTTGCATTCGCCGGTGCAGTTGAAGCTGTTTTATTGTCCTTTGGGGTAACATTGTGCCAATATACAGCTTCCAAAACTGAACACCGTGTTCTCGTCACGATGCGCTTTATTGCACGATGGAAATCTCAACTATCCCATTCCCTGATGGTATGTGGGCACAGAGAAATCGCGACATTCCATATCTTTGCAAACAAACCTCTCTCCACAAAATGCTTTGCCATTATCCATAAGCAGCTCAACCGCAACCCCTCTTTCACAAAACACTACTTCCAGCTCCTTGATGATGCTAGCAGAGTCTTGGCAGTGCAAGGGCATCCAAATGGCAAAACGACTGGGGCCACAGTCTATCAGCATCAGGTATAGTTGATGTCCGAAATGGGTTACATCCATCATGACCCTGTGCCAATTTTCCGCGACATCAAGCCTGCCCGATTTCCAAGCATAGGGGCCGGGTCGATTGACTGGCATTCCTTGCATCCCCTAACCACCGCTCGCACCCCAGATTTTGTTACTCTTGGGTTGATCAACTTCACAAAATAGAGTGTTCTCTTCACACCAGGATGTCTGCTGGATTGATGAATGGCTCGTACTTGAGCACATAGGTTCTCTGGGATCCGTTACTTTGCGCATTTCATTTAACCATCATTGCGGTACTCTAGTAAGTTGGTCGGCTTGATTGTTGCATGACTTGACGAGCTCTACATCAATGTCCAGCTCGTATTCTAAGACCAACTCTTGGAGTGTGGCTAGCCGACGTCTGATTAGCATCTCGGAGGCTGCCTTGGTGTGCACTCTCGTCCGTCCGGACAGAGTGTCAGCTACCTAGTGATGCACACATGCTGAGTCTGTCCGTAAATGAATGTTTTTGGCCTTCCATTGTAATGCAAGGTTGACACCTCGCAACACAGCATCGAGCTCAGCCAAGTTGATGTGCTTGTCTTCGTGCACCGGTTGGAGCCAGCTTGCGTCTTCTGCCACGGCGCCATTTCTCCACAACCACACGGTGGCTAAGGGCTTGCATCTACCCACACAGTTACATTTTTGCTCACTGATGCACCAGTCACCTTTCACTGGATCATCCTGGGCTAGTCTCTTAAAAATGTCGTCGATCATCTGGTCTAGAAAAGGGTCCTGCACTTTATCGTCCCATCCAGTGGTAACAGTGTTTGCCCTCCGCTTTACGAATGCCGTGGCGACACTTAACCAACCGCATACAGGAAAAGACAGTTCAACGGGTTAGTTTATCGAGGACTACCGGAAGTTCACATCCACGACGCCACCAAAGTTTTCCTTGCTCCTCCCAGACATGCAATCCCAGTACGCGTGTGCCAATTCTTAGCCGCTCCGGGGTCTTACTTGACAGACCAAACTGCTCCAAATGTTCCTTGACGTGGACCACAGAACACACACTCTCATTAACAAAAACGTTGTCAGTATAAGAGGAGGAGGCTGCGTTGACGATCTGGTCCTGGCTCAAGATGGTATTAACAATGGCCCGCATGATTAAAGGGGCAACATTGAGCCCAAATCCTAAGCGGGTTAGACAATACCTTTGTCCTTTAATCTCCACTGTTTGGAATGGCCAAAGAGACTTGTTGATGTGTACCTGCAGATAGGCCCGGCGTAGGTCCATCACTGCAGCATTTGGTCCTTGCTGGCGCCATTCCTGTAATTTTTGCAAACAAACATCTGGGTTATTACGTCGCCAATATATGTACTCATTGAGTTCCCGATAGTCCATAACGGGCGAACCTTCTGTTTGTTTTCCTGCAGAATGGCCATGAGGGGATTAAACCCTTTGGGGAGTCCGAGTTCCTCCTCTGGGTAAGGAAGCAGCTAGCCGTTATCTATCCAAATCTGGAGTTCCCGATCATACTCCTCCCGAATTTGTTCGGGAGCTGGGTATTCTTCCAGTCTATTTCTTAACGTACCTGGACCCAGAGGTTGGTTGCCAGCCCATTTCCAAGATGCGGTCCATCTCCGAGTGGTCTCATAGAATTCTACTTTAAAGTCGGGCTCGGTAATGGTGATGGCGTCAACGACTGGTTCGACACCTCTTGAAACTTCACCTCACGGTGCCAGTTATAGATATTCCTCCCAACTGTTTGATGGCGTCTAGTCCGAGCAGGAAGTCAAATCCAAGCAGGTCTCCGTCCCGTTGAGGGCTTCCATAGCGATGGGCGGCTTTGCACCAACGCTAACTTGTACCACTCCGATTCCACAGCAGTCAAAGAAAAGTCTCTGTCTACTATGTGGACGATGTTGATTTTCTTGTCCATGCCCGCGACAGCATGACTTGACTAGTGACTGTGTGTGCATCCTGTATCCTGAAGGAGTATCGTGGTATTCCATTGATACGAACTGTCACTATAGGCAATGTGCCATTTACAAGGATTTTGCGATACTCAAACACGAACGCCTTCTTGCGACCCTGAATCGAACACCTTCTTGCGACCCTGAATCGAACACCTTCTTGCGACCCATGCTCGTTACACAATGTATATTTGTCAATATTCAGAATATATACATAGTTGTATGAAAATTGGCAAAAAATTGTTCATATGCAATTCCTTAGTCGCGGTTGATAAGGAAAGTGATTAGGTGTAAGGGTGTTGTCGGTAGGTTTGGCAGTTAACGGATTTCCTGGGTTGGTTAGTTGGCCAAGGTCTCAGTCAGTGTCAGGAGAGGGGCCTAGTATTGAGGTGTCAGACAATTTGGATTTTGTGTGACTGGGTCAAAGTGTTGAAGCCAAACTATCTTTCATTGACAATAAGTGCTGTTTTAATATCTCTTTTTTGACAGGTATAGGCTCCCAGAGATATGCTGTTTTTTTTTTTTTTTTTTTCCAGGAATGTTCATGATTGCCTATTGCATTTTTGTGGAGATTTGTTTTGTCGACTGAATGTAATGCTCGAAACCTCTGCACATAAATATTATTTTGTGTTTTGCTTTTTGTAGCATTCACATCTGGTGAAATGTATTTGTGAATCAGAAAAAGATCCTTTTTTTTTATGCATTTACTGTATTTAGATTGTTTGTTTCTCACTCCTACTATAAGGCAGGGTTAAAAAATTAAAAATGTCATTGTGATTTGGTAGAAGGGAAAGTAAGTTGAAAAATAAAATTATTGAATAGATGGAAGTTTGCTGACAATCCAACCATAAACTGAATTTATCTCTACGTTAAATGGTGAGAAAGTTGTACACTAAGGTTCACCCAAAACAAGGTCGAAGAGCCACTCAATGTAGAAGGTTATTCTGTGGAATTGTATGAGCAGAAATCATAAGTTCTAGGCTAACGGTTTTGTCTTACAAACATCCCACCTGTGGAACTCACTTCCAGCTTCTTGCCTTCCAGATTTGATCTTCAAAAAGCTAAATGCAATGCCAATCATTATTGTCTGTCATCTTAATTTCTGTTTTATTATTGTCCCCGTTCTTTAATAATGTTTTTCTTTGACTCTCAGCAAACCCTGTGTCATGGGGCTTCACTGCTTTGCTTGTTTAATACAATTTTTTCTCCTTTTTTTTTTTTATATTTTTATTTATTTTGTCTGTTTATTTAAGCACTTTACTTTTTTAAATTTCAGATTTGCTCCTGAGGATATTGTAATTCCTTCTTTTAATGCACAATATGGTTACCGAAACAAATTGTGTGCCTCTGATGTCGTGTTGGCCTGTTGTGCACTTCTGGAATCGCCAGTAAGTCAATGCTCTATAGTGTAGTCAAGATCTTTTCTTTCTTTCTTTTTTTTTCCTACAGAAACACACACACACCGTGGAGCGTTGGTTATCAGCCATAATCCATTCCTGAAATCATCCGAAAAATGAAATGCACAAAAAACAAGATAATTTTCTCAAAAGAAATATTCCAGATCCAGTTAATCCATTCTCCCAGACCCTAAAATATTTAACCAAAGCTGCATTTTATACAGAATAACTATAGTTTTACTTTTTGTTTTTCTATAATCAGTTTCATCCCATGAAAGGGAATAAAGCCACTAAGGCACAAGAGGGTGCAGAATGTGGAAGAATTAGAAACAGAAACATTAATGATGAACAGGAAGAGAAAAGAGTAATCAGGAGGACAGTAGATAGTGATTGACATTGCATTTAAATTTTTGCATATTAAAGTTGGCTGGAAAGTATGGAACTGGAAAGGTGTTCCACAAGTGAGAAGTGCAAGAAAAGAAACTGTTAAAATAGAATTTACAGCTACATCTAACCTGCTCAACTGTAAATTGATGAGATATTGCTATCATTCTAGTACAATGCAGAAAACAATAAGAAATAAATGTCAAATAAATAGAATAAACAGACATTTGATGTCACTTTGCCTTTATTGAAGACTCTTGTTGGTGTATATGAGATGGTGAAGGAGGAGTGGATAGAGGTGTTATTGTTTGGAAGGGTCTCCCCCTTCATAATGACTTCAGGTAAGTGTTTTTCTGGAGTTATTTCCATTCTCTATCTCTGATGGCGGGAATCACACAGCAACAAGCAAACAGGAATGTACATGTTCGTAACAAGGGATATCCTTGCTCAATAACTAAGGAGTTTGACAATTTCCGAGACATATTTCCACCAAGAAAAGTGAACAATAAGCAAATCATATGATAACGTAGGTGCTCATTAATTGAGGTTCCACTGTAGATAAAGAGGGACCCGAAACAGACCGAGATGGCTAGATAGGGAGGGACCCGAAACAGACCGAGATGGCTAGATAGGGAGGGACCCGAAACAGACAGAGATAGATACTACTTTCTTTTTATCCCTCAGTCTGGGGAAAAAAATCTTGGTGCTTAAAATGTTCATTTTTCACTACTTTCTGTTTAATTAAATTCTTTTAAATTTTAATTTAATTCTCTTTTTTTCTTTTTCATTTTTTAAGCAAGAAAAAAGCCAAAATGCCACAGACAGTTTTTTCCAAGCAATGGACATACTAAACAGGTTTGTACAAAAAAAACATTTACCCTTTTCTTTATGCAATGAATGTGATTCAATAAAGGGACTTTTAATTGATGATGGTTAGTAAACAGAAAATCCCAAGTTTTAATAAATCAATCTGATGATCCAAATTGTTGAGGGGCCAAATTTAAAATTTTGCAGAATGTTACAATGATTTCGAACAAGGAAATAAAGACTCATGATCTTTTAGACACAACTCAAAATTAACATTGTTCTGTCATACCAAAAAAACATTAGTTTCAGACAACTTGTTAGGTTATTAGTACGATAGAAAATGTTTAATTAAAATTATATTCATTCTAAAAGCAACTAATTTCTTTAAAAAAATTTTTTTACATTTACTTCTCACTAATAATGGTGAGTTTTTAATTTATTCTTTATTCTTTAATCAGGTTCACCCCAAGTAAAGCAGTAAAGCCACTCAGAGACAAGATGTTACAGTGTGTGAAAGAATAAGAAAAAAAAATAGACATTTTTAAGGAGCAGGAATGATAAAAGAAGAGGAATCAAGTAGACAGTAGATAATGATTGATATTGCACTTAAATTTTTGAATTCGCCCCAAGCAAAGTCGTAAAGCCACTAAGAGATAAGGGGTTATTGGGTGTGGCAGAATTAAAAAATAGAAACATTACTACAGGGCAAGAACAAAAGAAGAGTAATCAGGAGAACACTAGATAGCAATTGACATTAATATAAACAAAAAATAGAAGGCATAAAGTACAATCCTTAAATTAGAGTCTGTTAAAAGTTACTCTGACCATGAAAATTTCCACATAAAATTATTCAAGGTGATTTGACCAAAGTGTTTAAATAAACATAGTTTTGATTTTTATAAACACTACATTAAAATTTAACAAAATTCATTTTGTATTTTACTCATTTTTAAAACTAATATTTCAGCTTTTTTTTTTTTTCCTAGTCAAGTTTGTTACATTCATTTACGCACAAATCTCTATCTATCTATGGGGAGATATGACTCCATCTCTTCTTCCCCACCTGCTATTGCTTGTATAGCAGAACAGATTGGGTCCTGTTGCCTTGGTTGGCAACCAGTCTACCACAGAAAGAAATAGCAACTTCCTGCAGACAAATCTACCTAGTCAGTCATGAATCAAGGGACATGATCAGCTAAATGTGTATCACATAGGTAACTTAACTAACTGAATGTATTTCTTAAACATTTTAATGGTTAAAACCTAAAATTAAACTAAAAGAAAACAAAATTCAAATATTAAATACTTTAAACATAAGCACAACTGAAATATTAAATACTTTATTTCATAATGTAGTAGGCAGTTACCAGTGATGTGAGCCTGGATTCAAATTTGACGTTTGTAACCATGATTAAGTGTAATTTGTAAGAATGATCAACAAACGGAATTGAAGAAGTGTGTGTGTGTGTGTGTATATATATATATATATATATATATATATATATATACATACATACATACATATATATATATATATATATATATATATATATATATATATATATATATATATACTAGCAGTAGAGCCCGGCGTTGCCTGGGGATATAACAGTAAGAGATAGATCAAGTATCCACCATCATAAAGACTGAAAAATAAAATTGACAAAGATTATTGTTTAAGGTTGATGGATACGCATGTCTTAATTAGTTTTTTTTTTTTTTTTTTCGAATTGGTCAAACCCAAACTCAAACAAAAACATTGTTTTCAATCGTTATGAGTCTCTCGACTGAATAGATTAATTTTATAAACAATTGTCTTCTAAATGGAATTTTTAAAGCATTCTGAATGTAAAAATAAAGAAAAATGTGTGCAAGACAATAAGAAACACTACATGCCAAAAAAAAAGTGAAGTTTTGTTGAAATCGGTTGAAAAATGTAGGTAGCCTTTCTGTAATCTTTTAGTTTTACAATTTATGATTTTTACTTATTGAATACAGTAAAAAAAATTGCATATTTTGCTTGTGGTGATTCATAATTAGAATTCTGATTTGAATATATTTTTCCCCTCGTTGTTTCTAATACAAAAAATATTAACTTTATGTCTTACAGTGATAATATAATGATAAAACCATGAATGTAGTTCATGGTTTTATCATTCTCCCACCACCGTTACTAATCATTTCTACCAATTTACAATAACTATTAGCTAATTATATTATCACTGTCTCCAATCCCTTGCAACATTACTATCATATCATATAGACCCATTATTAAATTAAACTACCCTCTCACCCAGCACATTAAATATTAAACATCACCATATAAATTAAGGATTACAAATTTCTACCTGTTACATATACACAGTCACCAAAAACCAACAAATAACAAGCTTTAAATATAACAAATAAACCCCCATTTTTTTCAAAAATTTAAAAGTAAATATAAATAATAATAATTTTTACCTATCATAATTTTACACAGACCCCACCACACGTGTGTACATACATGTGTGCAAATATTCAGCGGAAAAATACATAATATGACATGTATACATTCACGAGACATTTCCACCACACTTCCAATCTTTAAATTTCAACATTTCAACATACAAATGCGTATGTATAGACACAACACCACCTGTATACATACATATGTCATATCCGAAACTGCCCACATATGTTTATATATGTATGAGTCCTGACGGATGACCAAGTATGTATATGTGGCTGCATACATCGATGTTTGCGTTACTACGATGACATAAGCGACAAAATTTCCCCCACCACTTCCACAATAACACCAATACACGCAATCTACATAAACCCTAATTTTTTAAAACATTAATCAGTTTGTCTGACGATCGCTAAAGCGTGAAACCCAGGGTCACAAACTCACATCTATCCAACCAAATATGTTAGCTCTATCTCTGATATTGAGCGCTTTCTAATAAGTACCGCACATATAATATATAAATAATTATACATATATATATATTTATTTATATTTATATACACTTTTCATATATATATATATATATATATATATATATATATATATAATGTTATGAAGTTTCACCGACTTACTTACCTAAAAATCGACATCATTAAGGGATGCTCCCTAAGCCTATAAATAGACAGTGATATTCTCTGTCATCCTCTTTTTCCGTGTTTTTTTTTTTTTTTTTTTTTTTTTTTAGTCTAGTTTTCAGATGTAGTCACATGTAGATAAGAACATGGCCACTGAGTCACATTCACTTCTCTTGGTCCTCTGTTAATTTTAAACTCTCTCACAGACATGCATATATACATGTGTCTCATGCACATTTGTTACACTTCTGCATGAACACCTTCACTATTTTAAATGTTTTCTTTTTTCATATTCATTGTTTTTTCACATGCAACAATCTTCTATTGTCTTTGTATACCTTTGTTTTGTTAACACATACTTATCGTTTGTTTATATTTTTATATAGTTTGGTTGTTACTTCATTTATGTTACTCAGACTCACATTCGAATCTGCAATTATTGTTGTGGTATAAATATGCCAGGAGACATGTGTTTTCCATTCCAAACACAACCAGCAAACTCCCGCAACAGATAATATATATATAAATCAATTCACCCCAAACAAAGCAATTATGCCACTATGTCACAAGTGGCTACTGGTGGTAAAAGAGAAGGAAAAGACTTCAGAGGGGACCAGAAACCTATTCCTAAACATGAAACAATGGATAAAGCTCTATTCTTGTTCAAAAGACCAGGGAGGAGTGTGAACTGGGTAATATTTAATGTATGCATGCAAAACAAAAACTAGACAAAGCAACAGTAATGAGGTGAATAAGTTCACAAACAAAGAACGGTGTTAACACACGAAAGGGATACAGCAAAGTGACTGCAGAATTCTGACATCAAGACAAGAAAGAGCAAAAATATGGCGGATGTGGCCTATCTTATTGGCTAGGAAGAAATCCCAGAATGCATCTGTATTCCAGTCATTCATATCCACGATTGGAACCAACAATAAGACTTTAAAAAAAAGTCAGGGATTAATTTTACATTGTACTTATATTATGAACAGGACCCCCTATTTCGAAATGATAGGGTCAAATATTTTTTGATTCTGACAAATATTGTGGGTAAAGGAACGTCTAATGGATGCTAATCAGCAAAAAATTAGTCACAAGATTTTCTTTACATGTGGACCATTTTCCCTCAATAGTACCAGTTTTAATATTAATAGTTATTTCTCTTAACTACCGACGCCAGGTGGCAGTTTCTTTGTTCAAAGATGTTTACAAAGCAAAGAAATAAACAAACCAATTCCATTAGAGAGCAGAATGTAATAATATTTAAAAAGAAAATAAACCTGTTGCCTTTTTGTGTGTGTGTGTGTGTGTGTGTGTGCGCGCATGTGAAGTCTTGTTGAAAAATAATCCCCTCTGACCTTTATTTCTTTTGTATTTAATTTAGGAAAAACACAAAGGAGATGGAAGAAGCACTAAATATGGCAAAGAAACAAATCGGTGCCTTGGCGAGCCAAGTGCAAACATTTTTAGACATGCAACAGGTCATGTCTGCTGGGCCTTTCCTTTATGCTTTTGTGCAAGAGGTAAGTTGGTTTCTTCCTTCTTTAGTACAATAAACCAAGTCTTACATCTACTCAGAAAATGTTGGCTGAAGCTGCAGCATTATTCATCATTATAGCCTTATTTCAGATGGAGTAAAACTAGTAAAAATAAAAAAGTAAAACTAATAGCAAAAAAGGAAATTATAGAGTGTTGGGATAAAAAGATGGAGTGAAACTAGCAGTAAAATAATATTGTTTCTGTCTAAATTTTTGGCATGAAGAGTAAACATTATTTACATTAAGTCTAATATCTTAATATTTCTTGTTATCACGTGTTGGTTATTACACCATCCATCATTCATCAGGTGCTTGTCAAGCTTCAAGCAGTTTCGAACAGAACCCTTTATTTAATCTGCAGAGGTAGATTGTTCTCTCTCCTCATTGTCTTCGAAAAAAAGAAACTTTAATGAAAACATTCTTTGTGAAAATCTTCAACAATTGAATATAAATTTTCTGTTTGCATGTTATCTGCTTTCTCCTCATTTTTTCTTTTTTTTTAAATTCTTTTTTGGAGACTTGAATTTTTTGACTTTGCAAATAATCTTCATAGCCTTAACCTTCTACAAAAGTAGAACAAAAATACTATTGCATGCTAATTTCATAAAGCATAAAAGCAACAAAGACTATATTCCATTAAAATATAACATCTAATTTCAGATTCATCTTACTGTTTCATAAACAAAAATAATTCAAATCTCAAAAATACTATTGCATGCTAATTTCATAAAGCATAAAATACTATTGCATGCTAATTTCATAAAGCATAAAATACTATTGCATGCTAATTTCATAAAGCATAAAAGCAACAAAGACTATATTCCATTAATATATAACTCTTTCAGATTCATCTTCTGTTACAAAAAACAATTCAAATCTCAACCTTGTGGTTATTAACAAACCATATGTTTAATGGATGTCGGTTATCAGTTATCTCCTGTTTAGTTATCCACATTATCCACTGTGCCATGTGTCCTTGAGGTCTCAAGGACACATGACACAGTGAATAAAGGTGTTAGTTAGATCCAGTGACAGGACCCAAAAGTGTGTGAGTTCAATACCTGGTTAATGCAGTGGAGAACTTGGAGAGGGGAATTAACGGGAGATATCTGATAACTGACATCCATTAAACATGGCATGTGGAACTAGAAAAGTCTACCCCAGTGAGAGAAATAAAGGGTTCAGTTTGACATTCCAACCATCTGAAGAAGGTCAGCGCGTACAATGGCCGAAACGTTGTAATAAATATGGGGACAAAGATGAGGACAATAGTCTGAAGAATGTAAATAGTGTACATAATACCTTGTCTCAGAAATATAGACAGATACTGCACAAAAATTCTTTGCGAAAAAACTAATGGGTGCCATTTTGCCTGGCATTTGGGAAACTGAGTTTCTGTTGATGATAATAATAATAATAAAAAATACAACATCTTGGTTATAATGTAAGATCTTTATTGAAGATTGAGCAGTCATTTTGCTGAGCAAAACCTCATTCACAAACCATTAACACAAATTCGTGGCCCTCTTCTCAGTTAGCATCAGATTATGGTCAACAACAGTACAATAATATCTTGCCAATCCAATTGCTAAAAGTGACTAAATATTTTGAGGCACTTCATATCAAGATAATAGTCCACTATAAATAAAATATAACCCTTGTAAACATGTTTAATACCTTTAATAATTTGGCAGTTAATACTGCCAAATTATTGTAATGTGCATTTTTCAGGTGTCTTAGGAGTTTATTTATTCCTTATATTTAATTTCAGTAGTTACCATTGTTGTTTTTATAGAAACTAGAACATCAAATATATATGTGCATAAAACATAAAAAAAATGATATTGACCAGAAATAATAAAAATACTTTTCAGAATAGTTATTATTTTTCTACTCGTGAAATGTAGAATTAAAACAGAAAGTGTCTTTTTATGGCTAATAATAAAAACTTTAAAAGCTAAGAGTTGTAAAATATACCTCTGCAAATGCAATGTATATAAGCAATTCAATGTAAATACAAGGAATAACATGTAGTGAGTTTAATTTTAACAAATCAGCAAATGGGGCTTATGGCAAGTAATGGGTTAAGCAGCAGCATCATCATTTTAGTCAAAGCTATATTCCAACACCAGAGCATGTAAACCCACATTCATACACACAAGGGGATGCTCGGTCTAACACAGTTCCTTAAATTTGACCAAATATCAAAATTTGTTTACAAAGTTTTGAGGTTAAGCTAAAAACTTTTCACCACCCTCTCAACAAAAGCGTGTACTTTTGCGTATTTAGGCAGAAAACATTCTGTAAGGCAAATATTATTAAATACAACAGGAAATTTTGTCATAAATTTTGCAAAATTCATTTCAGAAGAAATATCAAAGTTTTTGATCTTGAAATGGACTTCAGGCAATTTCTGTCAGAATTTCCTCTTTGCTTGTAATTTTGAAAAGTTGATCAGTAAAATTAATTGCCACAAAATGTCTTTTGTCTTTTCAAGTCTAGAAGAATCCTCAACAGAATGCAAAAAAGCACTGCATTTGATGGCCATTTTGTCCTATATTTGGGACTCATCAGCAGTGTGTATCTGCTACCAAGTATCGAACCTGGACCGTTAGGATATGACACAAGCATCATACCAACTGTACCAATGGGCCTTGGTGACAAAGAGGTTACACCACGGAATTTGTGAAGAGTGGCGCTATATCAATTAGTAACCTCTTCATCACTGAGGACCATTGGTACAGTTGGTATGTTGCTTTTAACGTTCCAGGTTCGATTCTCAGTAGCAGATGCACACTGCTGATGAGTCCCAAATATAGGGTCAAATAGCCGTCCAGTGCTTTCAGAGGATTCTTCTAGACTCGATGAATTACTTGATTATAATTATTTGAAATCTTCCTAATCATGCACAGACTGACTGTTTTGCTGTATCACAGCTCATCAGTGTGGCTAGACATGCAATTGATTCAAGCTGAGATCGAAACAAGACTGATTTTACATCAGTTGGAGACCATCAATGTACGTGGTGGAGAAAGGGAATTTTTAATGCATTATATACGAGATATAAGCATTACTGTCTACGGAGTGCTCAGTTCATAGAGAAGAGGTTTTAACATTAATTAGTAGCAGCCAACAAATTCATTATGAGAGGCTGTGTGTGTGTGTGTGTGTGTGTATATATATATATAATATGTATATATATATATATATATATATATATATATATATATATATATATATATATATATATAATATCAAATCCATAAGTAGGTAATCCAAGTAGGTTTTAATATAATATATTAAAAAGATGTGTCCATAAAGAGAGCTCAGTGTATAGTATACAGAGCAATATGAATAAAGACAAAAGGTAATCTTATCTTAGCTGACACATTTTGTCCTCTGAGGGACTTTATCTAGGCAAATTCAAGGATTTCATTTTCTAACAAGTATTTATATACAAGAGCAAAAATGTTGTTTTTCAAAAATGTTTAAATTTAAGAATACCCATAAATATTCATAAGGGTAGCCAAAAAGTCAGGCTATGGAGGACACAATTCAATGCTTAAAGGAAAATAAGTAAATGATTTTCTTTTAATTTTTTTTTTTTTTTTTTAATGCAAATTAATATTTAAATCATTTTAGTTTGGAATTAATTTATGTCATATATTTTTTTATATATATATATATATATATAAATCAAGTGTCCATTCCAGTGCCATGAAGACTAAAATATTTCATTCATTTTTCAATCACACTCACATAAATTTTTGTTTCAGGGAACTTTGGAAGCAAAATGCTTGAGCAAACCCCAGTGTTTACAACGCTTAGCAAGATTTACATTAGAAGCCTACAGTGCTGAAGTAAGTCATCACATTTCTCAAGATGTTTTTTTTTCCTTCTACATTTAAATCAAAAGTATGTATTACACCTAAGATTTTTTTATTTTTTGTCTGCCTGGTTTTTTGGGTTTTTTTTTTGTAATTGGTAAAGATTAACTATTGTCACCAAGTCTCAAATATCAACCTCTAGGGGTAGTTTAATGCCAAAATCTAAATATTTTGAATAATTTTGTGGCTTCACTCCATATTTTGAACACAGTTGTATGCCTTCATTTTCAGATAAAATGTATAGTTGGTCATTTTGCTATAAAATGTATTGTTGGTAATTTTTTTTGTATAAAATATATTGCTGGTATTTTTATTATAAAAATGTATTTTTACACTTTTATAGTGTTTTTTTTGTGGGGAGGGAGTTCACTATTTACCAATAGTACTAACAGGTACTACAATCACTATCACCATATGGGAACAACAGCAACTAAGAGGTGGTTCCACACTCCTCAAAACCTCCAATCTCCCAATCAGAGACCTTGCTGCCAGATGTAGGTAATAATATAGACAGCATAGTGATAGATGCAACAATAGAGATAGCCCAAGATGCCAGCTCTAAACTGAAGCCTCAGAATCAATAAAATATAGAAATAGGATACAGAAATCAGAGGATGCTTTGAAATAGTGAAAGATGCCTTCCAGAATCTAAGCAAATTATTAAGAAACAAAAAAGTATAAAAACCTATTATGTTAGAAGTTTGCAAAGACGATGATGTTTACCTGTTAGTATCTTTTTCTTGTTAGCGGCGAAGTAAGAAAACACAGTACCTTCCTTTGGTCCTTGGAGTCCCATTAGACGCAGAGCAGCAGACATCTTTGGTCATTGGTATTCCTCCACTTAACTTGGATGATGAACGAAAAAAGTAAGTAAAAGAATTTTTTTTTTCCTCAAATTTTTATTATCATTTTATAATTTTGACCTCTGAACTCTTTGAAGCTCAGAAGACCCATATTGTACAAATCTTTTATGTATAGTTTCCCAGCAAATTTGTGTATTTTTAAACTTGTATTGAACAATATGAATATTTCTTGTCATCCACATATTCAAAAGATAAAAATAAAAGATTTAAACTAAACATTTTTTTTTCTCTTCTCAATCAAATGTTACTCTAAAAAGAACACATTATCAAAAAACCTTTTCCATAAGAACTTCTAACAATATGGTCAGAAAAAAAAGATTCATTTGCCTTTGGAATCAATGTGATATGTAACAAGCGATATGAAAGAAACATGTAATAAACAAGTTATATGTAATACTAGCTTAAAATCTACCCTATCAGGCGGCATTTAAGCTAGCTCCTGCAGAGAGCTCTTGATTGGGCTTTCATCACAATAGGTAGGGAGGAGTAGATGCAATAGGCAACATTAAACTACAGAAGAACTCAAAATTGATCGCTACATTTAAGTATTGCATTAATATTTAATCTTACCTTTTAAAAATTCAATGATAATTCTTCAGCTGCCACTTAATTTAAACATAATTTGATGTATGTAGGTCCTTACTCTCCATACTAACAATTATTTTTATTTCATGGTGACTTTCACTGGATTTTGCAATTAATTTTGATTATTCACTAATATATTTCCAAGTTATAAAAATTGTTATTGTACAAAAAAAAAATTTGTCACCAAAAACAGTCGCAGTAATGAACACTTGGGAATCTAAAATTTCAGGATTGCAGGTCCAGATCCAGCCCAGTATTTTTTTAATTTGCTCACAGAGTTGGCCTGATTCCAAAATGATATATGTTGGGCTACAGCCTGTTGGAGTAAAGTTCTAAAAAAATGTGACACACTGACATTCATATTTATTATATAAAGAAGATGAGATATTTAAGAGTTAGAGAGTTGTGTCCCTTTATATTGAAAAAGTCTGACACTTATTATATAGATGTGATATGTAAGTTATTATGTAATAAGCAATATGTGATATGATGAGCACCCAGTGTCTACTCCACACATATCAATGGATACACCCCAAAAACTTGTAATGAACAATACGAATATATCTTTTTGTCCACATTGAACATCTCCGCGCTCTGTTGATCAGCCTAGCAGACTAAACAAAATTGTGAAATAGAACTTAAACCTCTGTGGTCTGAGATATCCAAAAGATAAAAAGGCGGGAGGGGTAATAAAAAGAAAAATCTGAATCAGTGTCGGCAACTTTTATAGAACTTTTGTAATTTAAATTTTTGAAATTCTAACGTTGTCACACCATTCCTGATCGAAAGGGAAACATTTTTTTTCCTTTTTTCACATGCTATTATTAAATCCTTTCTTCTGCTTGAATAATAACATTTTGTTGTTGTTGTTGTTGTAGCTTTTTTGGCAAAGCGTTCGAGCAAGCAGCTGTTACAACAAATTCCAGGACATTGCATAATTATTTTGATAACTACAGTAAGTTTATCATTTCTCTTTTTTGTCAAAAGACAAACTGCCACATTATTTACGATTGCCAAACCTCTCCCTCCCTATGTGGTTTACAGCCAGGTTTTTTGTCCTTCATTCTATACATTATTTATAGTAAGAGGCTCTCCCTCTCTCTCTCTCCCCCCCTTTTGTTTACACTGTTTAGAACTAGTTTCCTTCTCCCTCATCTCCACACATTGTTTGCAGCAGGGCTTCACCACTCCTCTGCCATTTATTCTTCATACTATTTACAGCATAGCATTCTTTTTTTCTGTTTTCTCTCCTCTCTCATTTTTTTTTTTTCCTACAGCTCCATATTGTTTAGGGGTTTCCTTTCCCTTCTCTCCTCTTGTTTATAGTAGGGCTTTTCTCCTCCTCCTCTCTCCATATTGTTTATAGCAGGGCTTTCCTACTCCTCTCTTCTCCCCTCTCTCCATATTGTTTACAACAGAGCTTTCTTCTTCCTCCTCCTCTTCTCTACACATTGTTTATAGTCAGGGCTTTTCTCCTCCTCCTCTCTACACATTGATTTTAGATGTTTTCCTACACCTCTCAGACATTGTTTAACATCTTCTTTTCTAAATTTTATACAGTAAATTCATAAATGACTACAAACTCTAGAAATCAGTGACTGGTATCAAATGTGAAAAAAAATGTCTGGTATATATGGTAATTTCACTCATCAAAAATTGACAAAATATGGTTCTAACAAAAGGTTGTTTTTAAAATAAATGAAAATCCATATCATATATGTCTGATGGTGTCAAAAGATAAATTCCAAAAATCTATTCTGTTTTTTTTCCATTTACTGGCATAATATCTACCAGCTTCAGTATATCAACAAAACCACATGCCCACTCAAAGCAACCTATAGCAGGAATATACCATCTCAAATTTGTGTGGTAAATATTTCCTGCAAAATCTGGTTTCTTTTTTTTTTTACCTGGGTGTTCAATTTTTCATGTATATAATTTGCAACCTATTGCTATTGAATATCATGTTTTTATTTACCATATTTGAGTCCTATTGGCAGAATAGAATTTTAGGGGAAAATGGACACATCACAAGCTAAGAATCTAATTTAAAATGCATCTTTTATGATTCCTGAAGAAACACAGAATCCAATTATATGACTGGAATTTTGTTTTTTTTTTAATAGAAGTGAGTTAAGGTTCAATGTCCATTTTTTGGAAAAAGTTTTATTTCATTGTGTATTTATTGGAAAATTGCTTTAGTATTTTCAGGAGTAACATCTGCATATACAGTCAATTTTTTAATGACTGCATTTTTTTAAAACACTTCTGTATGGTAATAGGCAAAATAACAAAATATGCACTTGTTGGTAAATAGTTCATATTTTTTTCTAGAAAAAACCTTATTTATTAAAGCAAGACAATATACTTATTAAAGCAAATATTTCTGCAAAATCTGGTATTTTTTTTCCTGGGTAATTTTTACTTATAAGACTTTGCTTCATTTTTTTAGAGTCCTATTTCAAACTTATTACTTATTGCTTATTTATTACTTATAAGACTTGTGGTCTTCCTTCCTTTCATTATAATATTTATTGGACATATAAGATTTTTTAAAAAATTTCTTGTTTATTAGGCCATAAATACAGTAATAGTATATTTTTTTTTTTACTAGAAAGGGACCTTATTTATTACTTATAAGACATTACTTATTACTTATTTATTACTTATAAGATTTATTACTTATTTATTACTTATAAGACTTATTACTTATTTATTACTTATAAGACTTATTATCTTATTTATTACATATAAGACTTATTACTTATTTATTACTTATAAGACTGGTCTGTGCTCAAGACAATTATTTTATGAACTGACAAATTTCATTAAACATTCATTCTATAAAATACTATAATTAAACAAATTTTCATCTACTCTAGTAATATAAATTTGAATTATATTCATTTACGCACAAATACCCTTGAGAAATATATGAATTCATCTATTCTTCCCTCAGCTATGGGTTGAATAACAGGACACACTGGCTACTACAACCTACTGTGGAAATATCTACCTAGTCAGTCATGAATCAAAAGAGACTTGATTGCCCAAGCATGTATCATGTACGACACTTGGATGACTGAATAATACAGTGTGCCCCAAAAATTGTCATCATTTAAAATGTGAATATCTGAGTAATTATGTCAGGCAAACAAAATTAAATTGGCTTTATGTCTTTCTGCACTGATAAGCATTACATGACTTGAACATCACTTGTTGACAGAATAGGACAGTTATTCGCAATGATAATTCAACAATTTCTTTTTCTTTTCAGTTCTGCAAATGAACACAGAAGACCGAGGAAAATTCTTTGATGCGTTAATAAATCTTCTGCAGTAAAAAATTTTTTTTTGTTTTTTTTTAACTGTAAATAATTTGTAAATAACATTGGAAAATAACAAAGAGGCACTGTTTCGGTTTGCCCCCACCCCACCATCTTTTTTTTTATTGTTTTGCTTCACACCCCTTCTCTCCCCAAACTGCATTATTTTTTAGCTTTTTATTAGAATATTAGCATAATGCCTGTCAAAAATAAAGGGTTTATTTATATAAGGATTGGGACTTCCGCTTGAGATCAGTATAGTATCTGTGTACTTTTTCCCTAGGATCAAAGTGTCACTCCTCCACCTCGTGTAAGAGTTAGTATTTGTATATACTATAAAAATTGTTACATAGAAAATTTATATACAAAAATACACTGTTTTATACAAGGAGATGCTGGAAAAGTTCTTGGCCCAATCAAAAACAGGTTTAAAAAAATTCTATCTAGTCAGTGCGTTGGTTTTTATTGCCTCAGTTATTTTTCACAATTTCTTAATATTTATTCAAACGACTTTAAAACTGCTGCGTAGTCAGATTACACACAGGATGCTGAAAATGTTTAGTTTGTTAGCTGGTCATGTTTTGCATGCCGCACTACAAACCAATCTTCGCTGGTTATTCTAATTTTATAGCCTTGTGCCAAACTAGGTTATGTTGAACCTAGAGTAATGTCTCACTGAACCAATGCATTTGTTTAAGCTCAGTCTTCATTGAGTTTCCTTGATGCTGGGGAAATTGGTAAACAGTCAAAAGACAGAATCTGTTCATAGAATCTTGCTTGGATTATCTCCCTTAAAACTTGCCACTGAATTCATGAGATTTTAAAAGCTAGTGTTTTGTTTTTTTTTTGTTTTTTTTTAATTTCTTGGCAAAATTAAGTGAATGAAATTCTCACAAATCATAGAAGATTCTCATTATAAGAAAACCATCAGAAGGTTTCACTTTCTTAATTATACAATTAGGTTTTAAAGAATTTTCAAAAAAAAAAGATCAATGTTTTTATTTCTTCTTTTTTGTTGTTGACATTCGGTTATTGTTTTTAATTTACTGTCCTTTACTTTCCCTAAGCATTTTTTTTTTTTTTTTTTTTTTTTTTAAACAAAATTTTTCATTACTTATATTTGAAATAAATTTGTATCCAAATTATATTGCCTTCATTTTTTTCTAAATTTCAACATGTACCAAAATCAACAACCGTGACAAATTCATTTTTTTGGAATCTGAAATTTTTACTGTATAATGTTCAAACTTTATGAATATAAATTATGGAATTAAGTCCATAGAAAAAAGATCATTATATTTAAAAAAAAAAAAAAAAATATATATATATATATATATTATATAAATATTTTTATATGAAATAAACGCTTCTTCATTAGGTAGTGTGTGTGTATATATATATATATATATATATATATATATATATATATATATATATATATATATATTGAATATTTAGGCAGCAGTCTTTCATTTATGCATGTTTCATTAAAAACGACAGACAAGGTACTATGGTTAACCTTTTTTAATTTTTCTTGTGTTTGAACAAGTGCTTTCTTTTTGGGGTAAAAAGTGTGTAGAGACTGTCCAAATGTTCTATAGTTTCAAGTGCTTTCAGCTATACTTTTATCCATATTCAAGGATGATTTTATTTTTCCAGTTTAATTGAGTGCGTGCATTATGTGTATGTTTTTAGTGTGTTATAGAGATGTTTTATTTTCAGATTTTTTTTTCCACTCATTTAATGTAGATTTTTTTCTCTATTTTGTTTGACTGTCTTAACTGTAGCTTGATTATTCTATTATTCTCTAGACATTACACTTTCAATGGGCAAGTTTTCATTATCCTATAATTACAATTTGGCTTGTCAATGTTACCAGAAGTTTTTTGTTATGGTCACCAATAATTTCTTGCATTTTTTTTTTTTTTTTTTTACTGTAACCATTTGAGGATTGCTTTGCATATAAAAACTATTAGTTCCTTTATTTCTTTTGTCTTGGAATAAATGTGTGTGTGTGTGTGTATATATATATATATATATATATATATATATAAAACATTTTATGTTTATACATTCTTTTTATAGATGCAAATATTTAATTAAATGCTGTTTTTATAATAAACAGAGCATTTACTTAAATATTTGTATCTATAAAAGAATGTATAAACATAAAAATGTCTTAAAATAATTGCCAGACATTGTTAATTTCACACATACACACATTTATGTGTATAATAGTATGATCTGTATATAGTATATGTATATAAGTATATATAAGTATTTGTTCCTTTAATTCTTTTCTCTTAGAATAAATATATGTGTATATATATATATATATATATATACACACACACACAAAGATCACTGAAAAACTGATGCTTTTTGTTTTTAGTATTACATCAGAGATGAATGTTGGTGCTATGTCAGTCGAGGTTTAGCTATCCCATCTATAACCATTGATCTTTTCTTGTAGATAATAGTTGAGTAGTAATATGGTAAAATGATGTCTGGCAAGAAAGTGTGTGCAAAGCAGAGTTATATCAGTGAATTCATTCATGTGGAAAACTGCAGCCACTGATATTCATTGATATTTACATTTTCTTCAGAGTCTCTCTCTCTCTCTCTCTCTCTCTCTCTCTCTCTCTCTCTGCATTTATTTGTGCAAGCCCCTAGCTCCACTGGAGCTAATGTCATCATCAAGCACAATGGATGATGATGATATATATATATATATATATATATATATATATATATATAAAACAAAATTTAAAACACTTAACCAACTAACATGTTTCACTGTTATTAAAGCTGCATCAGAGAATATGAAGAGAACAAAATCATTAACTTAAAAGATTATATGAACCCAAAAACGTTTGACATCAGATGTGTTGGTTGCCTTTAGACACTTTTCATGAAGCAAAGAAAGCTTTGGTAAACTTTGTAAAATTAAATTACCTCAGTGATGATGAAAACATGGTGCTAACTTTAACAACAAATGCCTCATCGAATGCTGTTGGTGTTGTTTTACAGCAAAATATTAACAGAGAAAACAAACCTATATCATTTTCCTCTCAAACTGAATTCCTCGCAGACAAAAATACGACACATTTTCGACAGAACTTCTATCTATTTAGTCATCCAACTTTTCCATTATATTTTAGAGGGACGTGAATTCACAGTACAGATTATAAGCCACACATATCATCTACAGCAAACCTGATAAATATTCGCCATGTGAAATAAGACATCTGTTCTACATTTCACGATTTACTTCAGACATAGAATATATAAACGGTGAAGAAAATATTGTTGCAGACACACTTTCCCGTACTTCCATATCCTCAATAAATACGGAAAGTTTAAGCTATGAAAATATAATTGAGTAACAAAAGAAAGGCAGCGTTTTCCATGTTGCTTAGTATCTTTGCTTAAGGCAATTAACTATAAATGTTGTGGCACAAAGGAACTACAACATGCCTAAATCCTCCAACATTTGCACCCATGTCTAAATGAGAGTGCATTTGTACAGGGTGGGGCAGAGCAACTTGCTTATTTGGAATATCAATTAAAACACAAGTAATGCAGGTACACATGTAATTCTTTGAACTGCAACTAGTTCAACATTTAAATTTTATTTTTTTACCAGTTTTAAAGATGATATCAGTAAGATGGCGTCCATTCTTCTCTATACACTGAGTCAATGTTTTGGGGTGACCTTGCTGTTTGTGGGAGGCCAGGTTTCTTTTTCTTTACATCACCCATTTCCTTGAAGTTGTTTACCCATGAAACAATTGACTGCCGGCCAGGAACACAACCACGGGGGGCAATATTGAAATGTCTACGGAATGCACGTGGCGTCGCGACGATTGAGCGACCGCTTGAAAAAAATGCCTCAATAGCGAAAGCGTGTTCCAACTTCGTCCACTCCATGATGCACACTGGGGTTCTTGAAAAATAAACAAAAAATAAATAACGCACATTAAGAACCAAACTTTAAGCCCCACCCTCTCAAATAAGTCCATCCCTACCATCCTTGGAGCAACCATCACTTTAGGGCGCCAAATTTAAATAAGCAAGTTGCTCTGCCCAACCCTGTATTTAAAAAAATAACTATTTCAGAGTGTCTTCATATGAACCATTGGAATTATTTTGTATTTCTTAACCATTTTCCACATTTTATTGACATGTTATCTGCATTGTGAGCCAAAGCTGGGAACTAATAAACAAAAAAGGAAAATACTATAGAAAATGAGAAAAATATTTGCAAGTCAAGGAAGATCCCTTTCGGACATTCAGCTTTCTTATGTGACCTGAAAAAAGGTTATCCTCACCCCCATCATTATGTAAAAAATTTTTTCAACCACCCCCATGTTTTATCACATCCTGGCAGACGAGAAACCGCCAAAGTAATAACAAGTCAATTTGAACATGTCCACTGACATAAAAACTTTGACACAGCAATGCATGCAGTTTCAAAAATGCAAAATTGGGAAACATAAAAAATCGCTCATTGGTAAATGCAAGAAACCTGATGACAGGTTCACTTAATTGCACATAGAAATGGTGGGGCCCTTCCAAATGCATTTGGTTTCACTTATATGCTCACCATAGTGAATCTGTTTAGTTGATGGCCTGCTGCCTTTCCTATTCCAAATACCTCCGCAGAGACTACTGTAAAAGTTGTACTAAACAAATGGATCAGTACATTTGGAATGTCATCTGCGATTACGACTAACAGAGGGTAACAGATTCAATCTTTACTTTTCAAGGAATCTGTCAAGATATTCGGAATCAAATATATCTGAGCTAGTGTATACCACCTTTTTGCCAATGGAATTGGGAGAAGATTCTGTAAACAGTTAAAAACTGCACAAGCCACAGAGATTGTCCCTTATAGCTGGGTAGATTACCTATTACCCTCCTGTCAATTCGGAATACTCTAAAAGACTTACACTGCACATCAGCAGACATAGTTTTTGGAACCTCACTGGCATTGGTCAATACATTTAGGTAGACAAAACATCAACTCAATCTACAGACTTTGTCAACAAACTGAAAGACAAGATAAATACATTATTCTTTATACCTACTAGATGCATGACTAAACAGTCTTTTACACCTACAGAGCTACATAACTGCAAGTATATTTTTATCTGGGACGACATGGTTAAGAAACCATTATTTCCAAATTGTTCAGGTCCAACTAAAGTATTGGAACAACATGGAAAATATTTTACAATTCAAAAAAGAAAGACACTGTATCAATTGATTGTTTAAAACCAGTTTACATTGAAACAAAAAAAAAAAATCACACAAACACCTGACACAAATCAAAGCAAACCAATGAACATGACCTCATCAAAAATTTCAATAAACTTCAACACTATTTACATTATTCGAATTTTTGTCCTCATCTTTGTTGCCATATTTATCACAACGTTTCGGCCATTGTATGCTCCGGCCTTCTACAGGTGGTTGGAATGTTGAACTGAAACCTTTATTTCACTCACTGGGGTAGACTGGTCTAGTTCCATGTGCTATGTTTAATGGATGTGAGTTATCAGTTATCTGCTGTTAATTCACCTCTCCAAATTCAGCTTGACATTCCAACCACCTGAAGAAGGCTGGAATGTACAACAGCTGAAACATGATAAATATGGCAATAAAGATGAGGACAATAGTCCAAATAATGTAAATAGTGTACATAATACCTCATCTCAGAAATATAGACAGATACCCGTACAACAACAATTTAAGTGGTTGCACTGTACACTGGCCATGACATTTAGAAACCTACATTACAAATCAAATTTCATGAGAGAATCTTCTTCAATCTGGGCTGGGATTATTTGTTGGATTCGTGCCCCCTGATGATAATCAAAGTTAGCAAGATTTTGAATTAACATCTGATATTAATTACAGTTGGCATGAGATTTGAAAGAATCAACCTCGGGACTTTTTATAGTGAAAAAAACAAAAAAAAATAAACATTTTTTTTAGCACCTGCAAAAGGTGTGTACTCTACTACAGACACTGAAGTTTGTTTTGAACTCTTCACCTTTCATTTCATTTCTCATCTTCCCTTTTGTAAAATGTCCATTCAATATATTTGTTAATATTCCATTGTTCAAATTCTATGTCTTATTTTTCTTTTGAACTTAGATGAGTCCACCAAAAATTGTTTGTAGGTCAATTGTACCAGCTTATAAAATCTCATAGTAGCGAGCATAAAGATCAGAACAATGTTAAGAAAAGTCTAAATGTGAAATAACATTTCATTCTAAAGCTTCATAGAACATTTTATCAAGGAAAAATAAGAATATAAAAGTAAATTATATAATTCCAAAATATAAAGCTCAATAAACTTAGTTTGATTGTTATAAGAATAATTATATAACATTTGAAAAAAATAGATGATCAAAAACATCAGAACTGGAAAAACTTTTTATATTTGCCTTGGCTTATTAGTCTTTAATTCCTTTCAAATTATTTATTCATACATTAATACTTGAATTCCCTGCTGAAAATTGCTTATGAGTAGGTTAAGTCTACAAATAGAATAAGTGTGAGATTTTTATTGTTCAAAAGTGGGAGATCAGTTTATGGTTGCACTGTCCTGTTACTCTTATATTTCCTTCCAAACATTCTTACATTAATACTTGACAATATTTGAAGTAGTTTGAATCTGTATCTGTTTATATTTCATAAAGATGAGGTATTATGTACACTATTTACATTATTCAGACTATTGTCCTCATCTTTGTTGCCATATTTATCACAACATTTCGGCTGTTGTACACTCTGGCCTTCTTCAAGTGGTTGGAATGTTGAACTAAACTTGGAGAGGTAAATTAACAGGAGATAACTGATAAATGACATCCATTAGACATGGCACATGGAACTAGAGCAATCTACTCCAGTGAGAAAAATAAAGAGTTCAGTTTGGAAAAAAAAACGGCTGCAACATTGTGATAAATATGGCAACAAGATGAGGACAATAGTCCAAATAATGTAAATAGTTTAGTTTGAATCTGGTATTGAAAAATATATACAAGTTAGTTACTGCTCTGACACTGGAGTTATTGATGCGCCAGTGTTAAACTATCCAGATAAATGTTGATTGTAGACACTAGAGCATTGACAAAATTTAGTCATCTATCAGCAGGAACAAAAGCAATAATAAGTCAAGAGGTTTATTCTCAATCAGTCCTTACTACATCCTGATTGACATAATGTCATTGATGAAAACACCGGTAATGGATTCAGATTTATATTACTCAATCATGACATTTATAAAATTGCAAATGTTACTTATGTAAAAATTTTTTCAACCACCCCCATGTTTTATCACATCCTGGCAGATGAGAAACCGTCAAAGTAATAACAAGTCAATTTGAACATGTCCACTGACATAAAAACTTTGACGCGGCAATGCATGCAGTTTCAAAAATGCAAAATTGGGAAACATACAAAATCGCTCATTGGTAAATGCAAGAAACCTGATGACAGGTTCACTTAATTGCACATAGAAATGGTGGGGCCCCTTCCAAATGCATTTGGTTTCACTTATATGCTCACCATAGTGAATCTGTTTAGTTGATGGCCTGCTGCCTTTCCTATTCCAAATACCTCCGCAGAGACTACTGTAAAAGTTGTACTAAACAAGTGGATCA